CAAGATGATCTCACCTGTTTATAAGAGTGTGTACTGCACTGCATGTGGGTATGTTTATTTAAAAATGTTTAGCAAACCTTTAAAAATTAACAGATTTATTCCCAAAACACTGTTTTATACTAAACTCAGTCAGCAGAAAAGAGGAGCAGTATGTCACCGGAAAATGCTGAATTCTGCCAGAAAACTTTCTTTTTCGATCGTTGTATAATTAGATGACAGAAAATAGAAACGAGAAGAAGAGAAGGCAGGTGCTTGTAAATGTGTGTGTGTGTGTGTGATATGTTGATGGAGATATACAAGGCTCCACCTCCCCACCTGCTCTCACTGTGTACTCCTGTCTCTACTGGCAGTAGAGAAAATTACAACGACATTTTTAACGCATGGATCCAAGCAAAAACTCTTGTTTACATTAAATTCAGGTCATTGTCGTTACACCCAAAAAATTTGAGTGAGTCATTAAAAACAGTGTGTTTTCTGCTGTTCAACTACAGGAAACCAAATAACCCCAATCTCTATTTTTTTTAAATGATCATGCTTCCCAGTCTGCAATAATAACTAAATAAAATAATGTTTATACCCCCACAATTCCTGTGAAGCAGTTTCAAATGTTGCTACAAGCATTCAAATACCAACCAGTTAAAGCTTAGTGAAAGGGCAAATGGGTGACATTCCCCATCTACCCGTGCTCGATGGAGAACTGCACATCAACCTGCAGTCAAACCAACAAAATCCTCCACTATGAGTCATATTGAAAAGTCAACTGTCCAAAATAATCTCCTCTGATGGATATTTATGCAACATAGGTGGTAAACACACTCACTGGTACTGATGCAGAAACTGCACACAGTAGATCCTCAGTAGATAACCAGAGAGATAAAGGAAGGGAGAGCAAAAAGAGGGAGCGAGAGAGATGTAGACAGATAGAGTGAGCAAACGAAAGAGAGCAGATGTGGCCTTTGGGCTGAAACTGCTGAATCACCACGTCTCTTCTCATCACTTCATCACATCATGAACCCGGAGTACTTTTCCTGGAGCTACACACGGAGAGACTGTCATGATAAAAGGCAAAGAGAGAGGCAACAAAGAGGAAAGAGATGGAGTAAAACACACAGAGAGAGGGTGAGACAAACAGGAAAGAGCATCACATCCAGACATGCAGAAAAAAAGCTATAAAGGGAGATTCCCTGATCATCTCCCTCTGTCTCCTCAATCCTCCTCTGTACGCCAACATTACCTTGAAAGGCCCTGGAGGACACTGTCTCTTCCTGCAGCCACCTCAATGGGCTCGGGTCTGTTACATAAGGACCACATGAGGCTACTCAAACAAACACATTGAATTGCCTGAAAAAAAACAATCACTCTTTCAACTCACAGCTTTATTGCTGGACTCCCATTGTGGCCTCTTTTTTGTGGCACAGTCAAAGAAAGCCATCATAGCAGCACAGTCGATATATGAGAGCTCAGAGGAGGAGCTGCCAGATGCAGGGAGAGCTATGATACCTGTGGTGCCAGCTTTATATAGAGTTATAGCATATCTATAGCTTCCCTCAGCTAGCAATGCATGCGGAATGCACATTTCATGCTCATTTAGTCTATTTTGAGATGCAAAGTTTAGATGGATTTAGAAATGGTATGTTTAAATTAGAGAATAAAGAAGTTTAATTTGGGGATAGGTGACTACAGGCAATCATCCACTCTAAATGTATCAACAAAACCACTATGAGGAATAACCATTAGGGTGTTTTAGTTAATTGTAAGTGACAGGTGCAAATGACAGGCCCTTCCATCAATCTGTTCAAAATTGGCTTGTAATTCATTAGCGGGGCTGTAAAATGGCTCTGTTTGTATTAGATTCTTGACAAGATGACAAGTGGCCTGGTAAATAAATATATAAAGTATTATGGTAAATTTGGATTTATTCATAGAAACGTGTTATATAAAATGTGCTTCCCATAGTGAAAGTTTTTATTTAGTTGTATTTTAAATAACCATACATTTCATGAGGGGCTGTTAGGAGTTTCTAAATCATGCACAGAAGTTATCGTAGTAGTTTGCCCAACAGCTTTGGCATAAACTCCCCACTGAAGACTGGACAGCACAATCACTGCCCATCTTCTGCCACTGGCTGGAAACCGTCTTACCCAGATTCAATGCACTAATTGGACAAAAGTGTCTGAATGTAGTGTAACGTAAAGTTGTAACTGTTCATTCCAGCTTGTGGCATCTCAAATTTCCGAAATCAAACATGTGCTCATTTCCCACATGAGCTTTGTGATTTAATTAAAAATGAAATGAGGGATAAAAGTTTCATGATGATGTCGATCATCAAGTAGACGCCTGGCGTCAGGCTACTGCTATCCATCAAAAACCTATTTATTTTTGTGTGTGCACATACCAGCTATGTCAAACAGACAAGCACGCCCTCTAATTTCTGACTGATCAGAATATAGTCTTGATGTAATCGACGTACAGAATCATTACAGAAGAGGAATGTCCAGTTTTCTTTTTTGCAAGTTATATCACTTACTGAGAGCCTCTGGTCCCACTCTTTGCAGAGTGGAAAATCAATAACATTTAGCAGAATGCCTCTCTGGCCCTGGTGCTTTAAGGGAAGCTATGTCTGCAAGCGTCCCCCCACCAAAGACTTAACATTAATATTTATGCTGATCTCTTTAGATGAAATATTGTTTACAGACAAAATGGGAGGATTTCTGGAAATGATGCCAGTGAAGTTGCAAATTCCCTGTATTACATTTCTTAAATGTTAAATTATATTACTTACTTGGCATCAAACAAATGTTTTTTTCTGGCTATGTACAGTAGTTGCTCATGCATTCAGCAAGTGGAAAGAGGTACCATACCCAAACCTCTCTTAATCTATTTCCATTCAGATATGACAGCTTACAATTCAAATGATTTGAGTCTGAAATAGCATATTATATCCAGATATACTGTATAATGCAATTCTAATGTATGGTCGTCACTTATTTTGTATGAGCAGGATTGCATGAAGTAAAGCTGAGCATTCAAGCACCTCTTATCTGGATGTAGGCTGCAGGGTCTCACATTCAGACTTCGCCACATCACGATGGTGGCAGCCATCCAATCATAAGCCACTGAAACACTCACAGCAAGTGATACAGGATTACCATAATGTAGAGCTGCCATCACATTCAGTCAGTACAGTGCAGTGGAACCTCAGCACTCATGCATGTATCCACACATGCATAATGCACTGTTCTAGAGAAAGCCCTGTTGGAAATAAAATCCACTGCACTAAAAAGTGAAGACCATTCAGTCCATTTTACCAACAGTGTCTGTAACTCAGACATTATTTAACCAAGGGTACATGGCACCACTTTATTTCAAAACAGATGCCAGTAATGCAGATAGTATTACTGTACATTATTAAAAAGACTGTAATTCAAGCCAAAATTGGTAATACTCACAAAGCATTTAGGTGTATTTTGCATTTTACATTTTTGCAGACTGTTAAATCTCAGTATCAGACACCTACATTGGCAAGATCCCAAAGAAGGGTGTATTCATATACTAAAGCAGGATTAAATACATCTACACGTCAAAGATTTATTGTACTAGAATTCATTTCAATCTGTCTTTGCAACTACCAAGATGCATCAGAGTAGAGTCAGCTTCCAAAATCATTATTAAAAGCAATGATAATATAGCCAACATCCACCCAAACCCATGCAAAGATGACAAGGCAATCTCAGCTAAAGGTCCACTTACTCGCTTATTAATGTTATTATTACTATCCCAGAGCTGTTCACCAGATCAGTCTTCATCAGCAGAGGGAGTTTTTTCAGTTTTAATTAAATTCTAGATGTTCAAATTTTTAATGAGCCCCTTTAGGACTTCTCATCCTTGTTGCCTTAAAAGCTTGCCACTTAATTACTGACCTTGGAAACAGCAACAATCTCAACTCGAGGTCCACTTACTCACATGCTCTGCTATGCTTTTAAACATCATCGCATTGTTTGCAACAGTAATCACACTCACTTTTACGTGAGACACTAAACAATAATTGCCATCTGACGACACTTCAGAACGTCCATTAAATTGAAAAGGTCAAGCGTGTCTCATGTGGCCGCCACTTTATCGCATAGCCAACCAACACAAGGCTGACAAGATGAAACTACACCGAGATAATGATGGCAATGAATGACTGTAAAACCCATCATCGACATCCAGAAAACCTTTATGGCCTGAAATTGTGATTTGCAGGGACAAAAAGCAGCGAGTAATATAGCAACATTATTACAGAGCCAAAGGCTTAAATTTCACCTGTAGAAGACGATGTTTTATTCAGAGCTACATGCTCTTGTATGACAGTGTATGATGTACGAGTAGATAACGTAAGGTTAATATCCTGTTATCAAACGTGTGCTGTCAAGGGATGGAAACACTTACCCATAGCTCTCTAATACTGTCTCTCACACACACATCCACACACACACATGCACAAATACACACACTGCCATAAACATGCACACATGGCGTCATAAAGGCTCACATAAACACAGAAACAAGGGCAGGTGACAGAGTGCTGGGTGGTGGGATGTGTGAATCTGAAACCCAGAGAAAAGCTGTCCTGTCTGTTTGGATTAATAGAGCTGTTTCTATTTCGGGAGCAGCTTCAGTGAGAGGAGAGAATATATTTGAATACACTGAAGCAGACATATGGATGTAAGAATTAATTTCACGATTCGTGTGAGATTAAAATCAATTACACGTGTCATACAGCCTAAGGCCAGCGCACCCACGCTTAAATTTGCTTTTTCGAATTAACAGTAAGTCATGTTCCATCTGGCTGACTATATAGCTACCAAACGTTTTTTTACATCTGATCTGTAGAGCATCCCAGAAACTTAACTGCCAAAAACTGCCGGTTAACGCAACCACCTACTACATCAACTTCCCACCAGTCAATTGGACAACACTCATCCCATCTTTAAAGTCACTTGCATCTTAACACTTACCACTCATGCTGGGCCTCATCGATGATCAACAGGATCTTGAACTTCTTGGAGAGGGAGGGAGAGGGAGCCGACTGCTCCACAAACCCGGCAGCGGATGCGGCCGTCTGTTTGACCACGTTGGTGATGGAGCTGAAGGAGCTGAAGAAGCCAGAGGAACCGCCGGACGAGGAGGAGGACTGGGCCTGTTGAGGCTGCTGACTCGCACGCCGCTCCTGAGCTGCGGGGGAGCTGGCTGGCGCCTGGGATGGTGCTGGAGCTTTGGTCGGGGATAGGGCAGGGGCGGGCGCCGTGGTCAGATCTGCACCCTGCTGGGAAGGGGAGGACGCCGTGGGGGGAGGAGGAGCAGGTGGGTCAGGCCTCTGGAGGTCTGTCATGTAGCCATTGGGCAGGTTGGACATGAAGCTGCTGTCAGAGAGGCGGCGCCGGAGGAAGTTCATGATTGCGGTTGAAAAGGTCGGTCTCTCAGTCGGTCAGTTAGTTGCTCTCTAAGATTGTCTCTTGATTTCTTGGCTGAATGAAGTGAAAGCTAGAGACAGGCAGCGATGGTTACAGGTGATCAAAGGTTAGATGAATGACAGAGAGCAAATCAGTCAAAATGGTCCAGGGATGGGTGAAGGAGAGCTGCTTCAGTGTTGGAGGAATGGAAACCAGGAAGGAAGGACAGGATGGATGAAGCGATGGATTCAGCTCTGGTCCAGTCTTCAAGAGACAGCTCTCCAAAGCGCAGCTAAGCCAGCAAAACAGCGCGTGTGTTGTGTGGTGTTCCTCCTCCTGAGCCTCACGCCTCCTCACAAATGTGTGACGTGTGAGAATGTGTATCTGTGAGAGAGAGAGAGAGAGAGAGAGAGGTGAGATGCTGGTGCTCTCCCCCCTCTACCTTGCGAACCGAATACGCTCAAGAGATGCTACTCTCCCTGCTTATCTCACCCTTTCACTCGCTCACGCTCCCTCTGCCCTTTTTCCTCTCGCTCACTCACTCTCTCACTCTGCTCACGCTCACTGGCTGTCTCCCCCTCCCCCCTCCCACTCTGCCTCCTCCTCTCTCTTGTCATCATCCTCCTACATCACAGGCTACGTGTGTGTGTCGTGCTGCAGCCTTGTAGCGCTGCGTGCCGTGTGCAACCACTGGAAGGGGTTTCCTGCGTGCGTCCATAAGGTGGAGTTCACAGATGGAAAACACCACCCACCCCACTTCCTTCTCCATCCATCCATCCATCCATCCACCCCTTTATCCTCCTTCTCAACCTGTCTTCCCTTCATCCCTTTTCCCTCCATTGTGGGTTCATGTATGTCACAGTGCTGATACATTTTCTGGTGGATTAATTTTCATAGAACTGAAAAAATAATCCCCTCTGGGAATGTGCTTTTGCCAATATTTTCCCTGTAATAATGGAAGGCACGGTTGATCTGTAATCTAAACCACTATGTTGAAGCAGCCCAGGTGAGGACAGTTTGAAAACAGAGAATGGAGGAGAGGAGAAGGACAGAGAGAGAGTCATTCACTCTCTCATGGTTTCTATCGACTGACTAATCGGGCAAATGATTCCCTCCAGTGGAACTTGTTGCTCTTCCGTAACGTCTCCTGAATTGCAGCCTGTGAAAGCAACACATGGAGGTTAATGGTGGCACTGACCAATGGCAACGAAGCTTAAGGAGACCTTAAAGTGATCAGTATTTTAGATGCATCATCTTTAATCTCTATAATGGGATTTATAATTATTGTAATTGTATAAGATTTAACTAATGATTTCACTTAAGACCATTGTAGCATGCAAAGTACCTACTATCTCAGGATATCCAAATAATGGATTCAAATTCATAGTTACAATCGCAGTTTGTTTGTGTGTCTCTTTCACTTCTTATTCCCAAACAAATATCTCCCCTCTACGCCTGACTTTATTATGTGTTCACTATTTCAGGGCACGAGAATAGCACTACTCCTAAATGCCGTGAGCAGGCTGCATCTGCACTGTTTGCTGGCCTGAGCTCTACTAAAAAAAAATTTTTTTAAAAAGATGATAGGACAAAGAGGGAGAAAAAAGATTATTCAAGCGGGAAGAAAATCCTATACACGTCTGAACCACAATGACGAGAACAGCATGGCATTAGAAGACTGCAGTAGAGGAAAATGGAGACCTACCTCCATCTTATCTTCAATATGCAATTATTCCTTAAAGGATGTAAAGAAGAATTATTCTTCAACCCATTTATGAGATTTGACTGCTTATTCAGAATGAAGGATTGAGATTTCTGGAAACCAACAGCTTTCATTTTCAGTACAGATTTAGTTTGCACTGATTGATGGAAATGTGTTCCTTGACCTTTATCCCTTTCAAAGGCTGCGTTCAGCTTTACTCTCAACCGCTGGCCATATCTTGTTTGAACCTCAGCTATTTATTTTCAAGTGACTCATAATTTGGATTAGCTGGTTGTTGTTGTTTCGAGCAATTGTTGCAATTTGCAGACGAGGAGTGAGTACCGTATAGATCATTGCGCAATATTGCACCATATTCCACCAACTCACCTTTTATTCACTGCTTATGTTATTTCATTAACAATTCAGCATCAAACTGCTACAGAGGTTTGGACTGTGCAGACCAGTGCATCCAAATGTATATGTGTCTGTGGCCGTGTGACATAAAATGTGTTGATGACAGAAAAAGGTGAGTACACGCGGTAAAGTTGAATATCGTGTTGTGAAATCATCTATAAATTGACCTGTGTTCAGTCCTCAAAAGCCATTTTTTGCATAACATGCAGGAAGCACATTTGTAGCAAGTCACGATGAGTCAAGCCGGGGAGGGTGGGGGTGGGGGGTATGTGTTTAGTCAACCAGAAGAGAGCTGGAGTGACTCACAGAGCTGCAGTGTGAACTGTAGCGACATCCTAAGCTCGTCCTGGCCTACATGGTTCATGACACACATACAACACATTTCGAACTGCCATAATATAATATAATATTCCTCCCCTCTTTTGCTTTAGTATGTGTTTCTAAGTACGCTTAAAGAGGAGAGTACAATATGAACTGTCTTCTGCTGCTGCTTTAGAGGAAACACAGTAAACGTACGCAAACAGCAGATCCACAATGCCAGGAGCATCACTCATCAACGCACCCATACTCCCTCCACCAATACACATACATGTAGACACACACAGAGGAGATGTACACAAAACACAGATGCTGACACACAAACACATCCAGCCCTCTCACTCTTTTGGCCAGTATGCGTGCATGCATACACACATTCACAAGAAGTCGACATTTAGCAACTGAATGAGAGTGTGGGCAATTGAATTAATTATTTTGCATCCATGAAAGAAATTAATCATTATGTTAAACACCAATTCATTCAGTAATAAAAATATTTTAATGTGATCCTTCTTCATCAGCAGATATGACAGGAATGTTAGAACATAAAACACTATTTTAGGATGGGATATTAACACGTTTCATGATTTTTACTGGTGAAGTGTGTGTGTGTGTGTGTGTGTGTGTGTGTGTTTGTGGTGTGCACGTGCCTGGTTATATGTTGCTATGGGGGGGATTTGCTGCAGAGATCCGAGTGTGAGTGGGTGACTATGCAAGAGTCAAACCTCCTGTGGCTTCACTGACTCAATTTAGAACACTTGGCCTCTGTGCACATCAGGCATTGATGGTAGGTGCCCATGACGTGATATAATATATGGTACAACCTTAATAGGGGATTAGTCTAATTGTAAATTCCAATATTTGAATGAATTATTCAATATCAACTCAAGTTTTATTCAATTGATACATTACTGTTTAATGACTAGATTAATGGTAGAGCTAATACTGAAGCATAAAAGTGAATAAATGGAAGTTTCCCTTCCTGGGAGTTATCTCAGATGCCCTGTCAGGTTAATTAAAAACACACGGGGCTCAACCCAGGAAACAACAGGGTTATTCTGGGGAAATGCTATTATAAAGTTAGATGTCTATGAAGATTCTCAGTCATCCAGGTCATAGTTATCCAACGAAGGTTGAGGTTAAATAGCTGAGTTTCCCTGCCAGTCAGTCCGAACTGAAGAAGTCCTTTGGATGAGGGACGAAACGTCTTCCAGTATCTTCAACCAAGTCCAGTTCCCCTTGATTTTAACCTTCATTGGATTATAAAGTTAATGTCTATTCCTGTCTTAATACAAGGTCTTGGTAGACCCTCACAGAGGTCACCTAACTGTGCTTTTTGCATTCAAAATTAGTCTTGATGCTAGAACTCAGCGGAAACACAACAAGAATAAAAAAGAAACAAGAAATAACACAGACTGAAATGTCTATCATAGCCCTTAAAGCTACAAGTTTAGACTCAGCTATTGTAAAAGATAGCTCTCTGAATGAACTTCAACAGTGCTGTGTGGATGGATGGAGCTACAAGATTAAAACACCCACACACAACTTGCTATCCGTAGCAAATCCCCCAAAACACCATTTAACCAGGCGTGTGCGGTACCACACACACGCACAGCACAACTTACCGCAGAGTGTGTTGCAGAGTGTGTTGCAGAGCTGAGGAGACAGATGCTGATATTTTGACAATAGGCTTACAGTTGTGGTGTATATTTTTAGGCAAAACACAAAATGCAAGATTTAAAACTGCCATGGCAACAATTAGAACAGAAGCTGGCTTGGGAAGCACAACAATAAAGGCACTACAGTAATGATAAATCAGAATACTGATGAGCAGTTCATAACAAGATTTACACACAACAAAGATTTAGTAAAAGTCCCCTAACTAACTTGTAATGGAATATTATATGAATGAAGAATATCTCCATTTGAAATTTGGTGTTTAGGCTCTGAGTTTGTTACAATAAAGCTCAGCGTAGCAGGGATTGGGGAGTGACGATAATAAGTTTCCCCCAGGAGAAAAGAGCTACATATTGCTATTTGTTTTGCGATTTCCTAATGTGCTCCTATCTTATATATCTAATTATAATAATATTATTAGCAATATAAAGATAAATAACTATATTACTGTGTAGGCAAAATAAAGATGTAACTGACATTCTTAAACTTGTATTCAATATGCATATTTATTTACATACAGTAGCTGTCAGCTATGGATATTGGGTGTTTTTATATGAGAAAACAAGCACCTACCAGCTGGAGTAGGTGGAAAATTCATTCATTCAATTCTAATGTACCTAGAACAATCCAGCCTGAAATCAGATATTGATTGTAAGGCAATTTCTGTCACCGAAGGTACTAACCAGCATCTCATATGGCGTAAATATAGCCTTAAATGTGCATTTTAATTCAGCTTTCACCTGCTTCTGACTCCCTTTTATCAGCATTATGGGCTTACTCCCTGCTCTGTGACACTGTAACCCTTCAGTGGAGTAAGATAAAAGTGGCTGATTCTGTTTGTCTCCTCTTGTGGGGGCCTGGAGCAGCTGTGCATCTACACAAGTGTTTGTGTGTGTATGCGCGCACGTACGCGTGTGTATGTGTGCGTGCATGCGTGTGTGTGTGTGTTTGTGTGGTTAATGGTGCTTTTTTTTATGTTCCTTCACTAGGCATGGGCAGCAATGGCAATCTCCATGGCAACAGGCGTGCAAAACCTAAAAAGATTCTCCTAGTTAGTGCATTTTTGTGTGTGTGTGTGTGTGTGTGCTTGTTTGTATCTGTGCACTCACACACAGAGGAAGTATGTGTGTATGCAAGCTGGTGAGCTTTAAATGGCACCATTCACTGCAATCTGTATTCCTCCTCTTGTAGTTTTATTATAATATAAAAATGCTGGAATTCTTGAAACTAAAAGATAGACAGATATTTATGTTTTAACAACAGGAGTTAAGTTCAGGCTGAACTGCAGTCTGGGTCTTTGCCAAGCCCTACCGATCAAAGCTGTAGAATTTGTTTTCCTAAGGCGGCCACTCAAACACGAGGAGATGTACCGTGAGCTGTAAATCATGTGCCACTTTCAGACTAATACACGGGATAGAAACAAATCCCAAATCACTTCAAATTGGAAAATCA